ATGACTAATAATTATTAATACCACATACCGTACTCTTTAACAAGTAAGTACTGTATAGCTACTAATATCAATGACTAATAATTATTAATACCACATACCGTACTCTTTAACAAGTAAGTACTGTATAGCTACTAATATCAATGACTAATAATCATCAATACCTATTAATAGAGAATATCGCACAAACCCACTTACTTATTTAGCTTATAAATTTCTAATTTTTAAGTGGAGATGACGACACCATTCAAGCTGGCTTCCTGGAAAAGTTCAAGAGTCACGTGATCCTGGAGAGTTCTGGACTATGTATTTGGATGATACCAACAACATTTAAAAGTTCTTGTGAAATGGACATTACAAACTTTCCTTTTGATTCACAAGAATGTGAAATGACTTTCGGTTCCTGGACATATGACAACAGATTACTGCAAATGGAACAAGTGCACGAGACTCATGTCAAGACTGGTAGGTTTATACATTTTCACGTACCTCTATCGGAGATATTATTTCATATTTTATTTTGCTCAACAAAACAGTAACAACAGTAACTTAATCGCTGTTTTCTCGCTCAGCTCATCAGATTATCATTTTTTTGAAATTGTTTTTACTTACAGAGAAATTCGTGGTTAATGGTGACTGGAATATACGAGACATAACAATCAAAAAACAACAGATCAAGTAYATTTGCTGCAAACATCCCTTCTCGGACATCACCTATACATTTATTCTAGACAGGAAGCCCAACTATCACGTGATGTACTTAATTGTTCCTTGTGTTATCATATCTCTTCTCTCSCTCCTTTCATTCGTACTYCCGCCTGACTGCGGTGAAAGAGTTGGCTTGAGTATCACGACCTTGTTAGCRATGAGTGTTTATTTGCTTATCATGTCTGAAATCATACCAGAAACCTCAGACTTCGTTCCAAGGCTTGGAGTTTATTATATAACAGTCATGGTACTGGTGGCTGCTTCGCTGGCAGCTACAACGATCACTCTGCGATGTCACTATAACAGAAATAAGCCTCCAAAATTTCTCAAAAAACTTTTCGGTTGTAAAAAACGTCATCGTCGTGTATCAAGCTCGGTTGTCATGGAAGACCTGACGTCATGTGACGCAAATAACGTGAACAGTGACGTCATTAAGAGTCAAGAAAAGGAGAAGAGCAGAACTGAAGATCTGGAGAAATTGAGAGAGGAGTGGCGAGAATCTTGGATTGATATTGCAGCTGGCCTTGATAAGTTTTTCTTCGCTGGGTTTGTGATAACATTTGTCGTCACAAGTCTGGGTATCTTGTTGTCAAGAGGTTAAAAATGATAAAGAAATTGTTTGATAGCAGGACTAGGTCATTCATTGTTTTTCCGCGGCAGGCTTTTGCCCGTGAAGAGTTGTAATATATTAGCTGAAATGAAAAGCAAAGCGTACAGCTGAGTATGTTATACATAAGTTATACTAGCCTTCTTGAACATGTCTTCTTTAAATGGTTAATATTGTATCGTTTAGCAGTTGAAAAAGTTCAAATATCATGCAATAAAACTATTAAAATTAGTAAAGGCAGTATTAATATTCATGATGTAACTTGGAGATAAATTAAGAACAACAACAACCTCCATGTTGACAATTTATAGTAAATTCATGAKGATCGGTCAATAAATCTGAAACTGACTGAAACATATTTCATCTAATTCAAAATGRCATCCGTAAAGTGGAAAGAGCTTGGAAGTGTTGAGAATTGCTGCTCTTCAATTCCCACCAGATTTTCTCATTTTCATTTATTTGTCTTCTTTYGTCGAAAAAGTCTAAACCGAGTCAGGGTCAGAATGGATTCTTCCGCATAAAGATTCTGTTACTCTTCTGACTCCGATTCCGCTTCCGACTCCGTTTACTAGTTTTTACTTCTTCATACGCTTTTGAYTTGAGTTTCTATCTCCGACTAAATCAAAATGGCGCACCAGGCAAAATACGCATTAAACTTGACGCGTATTTGTCCTTGATTCAGAATGTTTACTCAGATTTGATTACCGAAATACCATCCGTGACCTGTGAGGTGTAAAGGTTTGTCTTGCTCATATATTGCTGTATTGTCTACAGTAACATTAACAATATTCAATTTAAGATAAAGAGTGAAGTATGCAGATAAAAAGCCTTATGCAGAGTATTTAAAGTGATCTAAAAGGGAGCCCAGTAGATAAACAGTACTATCAAAATAGTATCAAACACAAAAAATAGATATGAATAAGGAAACAGCATTCTTTCGTGGTAAGTACATAGAAATTCCTAAACTGCATGTTTGCGTACATGTTTGTGTTTTTTAGAGGAAATTTATTTTAATTTGTACCAGCACAGCTTTTGAACCACAGCAGCATACGTTATAAACACTTATAACTTAATAAACACTTTTTCGATATATATTTTTTTGCATTCGTACTCACTATAGAAGRGCCTTTTTATGAGTCTCAACACCTCGTGAAATAATGTAAGTGTTTTATCGCTATAAGTTTATTTTTCATTCTTGTTGCTGCAGAAAAAAGATAAAAGCCACAGAAATACCTCGACTGACTCACTGACATGATGGAGAGCACAAACAACACCACAAACTATACATTAGACGTTCCTTTAAAATGCTTTTATTTGGATTTGTCAACTGGTGCGTTTATTTCCAAGCTAATTGGTTATTCACTTCTTATACTTTTTTCAAGCATTGGAAATATTTGTATTATTATACTGACTATTAGAACGAAGCAAGAACGAGGTGCCATGGACATCTTCATTCTCAACATGGCGTTCTCGGATCTCTCAGTACCTTTCGTGATCGGCCCGAAGTCACTCTACGAAGTTGCAACCCATACAGAAGGATTGTGGCAGCTTCGCGGGAAGGCAGGGGACGTTCTGTGCAAGTTRACTACATTCCTAGTCGATATTTCACCGATAGTGTCYTCCTTGACTCTTTGCTGCATCACCATTGAGCGATTCTTGGCCATTGTACGCCCTCAAATATCTCTCCAATCCAACAAGACTAAAGAAAGAATGCATTTCATCATGTCTGCTGTTACTTGGATCATCGCAATAGGCTTCTGCGCACCGTACTTCAAATATTTCAAACTAACAGAATATGACGATGTAAGAGCTGATTGTGAATACTCCTTTGATAACGAAGTCGCCCACCGAGCGTACACGATAACAGCCTGCATACTCTTTATTGTCCTGCCTACCGTCCTGATGGCCACCATGTATACATTGGCTATTATCACTTTAAAGAGGTCAAACAAGAGAATGTCAATCTCTTTAACCCAAGTAGCAAAACACCAGAGATCATTGAGGATGCGTACGGTATTGAAGTTATCTATTGCTGTGGTACTTGGTTTTTTTCTTTGCTGGGGTCCATGGAACGTTGGGGTGTTCCTCTTGACCTTCTCSTGGGGATGGAGCAACACCAATACCTGCGCCTTCAAATACTACTGGTTCTTTGCGTCCTTTATGTCTCTACTTAACGCGGCTACCAACCCGTGGACTTATCTGTTGCTTGTGGAACGCTTCAAACGACAGTTACGCAAGGCATTCAGGTTATCAGTGTCAAGAATCATTCGTTTYTTGCCAGGAAGAACAGGGCGGTGTGACATAGGGGGTGGTCAATAATATTTATCAGACCACCTTCTTTAGAAAGACAWTAAAAGTGTAAATAACTGAGAAGAGATAGGAATCATAAAAATAACAAAACAATGACGTCAAGAAACTAAACTCACTTACATACATGAAGAAAATCATATCTTAGACAAGACTCAAATCTTACACAGCACTAAATGTAATAAAGAATCATAAGTCAAATAAACAAAAATTAGGAAATAATGGAGTGAGAAGCTGTGGTAACAATTTATTATTGCCGTCATTGTTGCTGATCTGAAGAAAATCAGTTTTTCGATTGAACATCACAAGAGTTTGAAGTGTTTTTTTATTTTATTTTCAGGAAATTCTTTTTGTGATACGATATTCAGTGTTKCAATAATGCTTTGATGTTTAGTATTGTCTTGTCTTGTTTGTCTTTTCTTTGAGCCAATTGAAAAAAGAACTGAAGTCCCTTCCCTTGGAGAAACTAGAAATTCCCCCTGTCTACCCCTCTGAGTAATATTTMTACCTTTTTTCACCCGTTCAAATATTATTGTCTTACAGGTGGTACTATAGAAAAAAATGTAATCAGTGCTTCCCCTACCCTCTCCTCCCATGACCTTTTTTACCCTCCMCTCCCCTCCCCCTCGYCGAATGATCYTCTAGATTTGTTTTTCAATCGGTTCATCCTACTAACAGGTATTATTCACCCTTCCCATCAAAACAATAAGTCAATTAGACGAATAAAGAATGCCTACCCTGACATYGGGAAATAACAACAGGTCACGGGCCTCTTAAATCACAGTACTCTCCACCTTTTGTTGCTGTGCAGAWTTTCAACAGTATTTATCGTAACCCAATGAAATCAGGAATAGTTGAAGTGAACTTGTTAACGGTAAGTGTTCGTCAAACCCTTTAAACACTCGAGTAGGTTTGCTGGTATAATCGAGTCGGTGAATTGATTTGAAGAAATAATGTCATTGCTAGATTTCGATCTCGAAATATGACAAAAACAGCACGAAAAAAGATGTAGATTTGAACATAGTTTAGGGGATAAAATGATAGATTAGGTTTAAGAGGTTGGCAGTGGTGGTCGTGATGGGATACTGTAGGAAATCCTAATATGGGATGGTGTCKAGAAGTTAAAGGTTAGCCTTGATAATTATCAWCACAAATTTAATGATATTCATTTCAAGAAAAATATTCAATAAAAACTTCATRCATTATTTCCGATAATTTGATACTAATTGATGAGATTAGTATGTATACCGATTGTTTTTCTGAGGGCGATGTCAAACGGGTAGTTTAATGCAGTCTTCATCAATCGAAAATATAAYCAGTTTACGGAAATGCTAAATYTCATTTTTTTTAACAATTTCATCAGTAGCGGCGCGCGCTGAAATGCSGCTTATTACCTAAACATTTCTTTATAAATGTTAAAAACTGATCTATATGAATATCATGGTATGCTYTGTACKTATTGTGCTTGATTTTGTCACTGCTTTACAGTCATCGCGCACYGCAGGAGGTTAGTTTGTGAAATAAAAATGACAAACAACAAATTCAAAACTATATGACTGCGAGAAGMAATGCCAGTAAGACGAAAATGGGCATGCGCACTACTTGCAYTGGTGATTGCTGCTACGAGGGCGTCAGCTTCAATAGGTATTCATCTTTTCCTTCAAATTTCATTTTGTTTGGATTCAATCATTCATAATACAAATTCCATTATTCATTATTCGTATTTTTCTTGCAATAGATTTTACTAGTTTAGGATGCTGGAAGTTAAATTCAGGGCAGAGCAGCGAYAATGCAATACCCGACTTAACAGACGATTCACAAGCCAACCAATTTACCGAAACCACTGTCTCGAGCTGTGCCAAACTCGCAAAGAACCATGGATATTCATTCTTTGGCGTCCGCGATCATAATCAATGTGTCAGTGGAGTTCATGCAGGTTTCACATACTCAAAGTATGGTCAATCATCCCTGTGTCGTGGGGGGACGGGAGGTCCTGGTGCGGTCGATGTGTACAGTTTGCAAGGTAAGTGAYAATGTGCAGTCAAAGCTCATTGGCTATTCTGTGGAATCACGTGATGACCCACCCTTCTGTGTCTATGAGTTTTACCGTCAGGTGYATTTATATTCTAGGATCTAGTTTAGTGGATGGTTTTCCTCACATTGATGCATCAGAAGGAAGGTTYTACCTTCAAAATAACCAGTATCTACCCAGACAGTTTATACAAGATCACCAATATCTWCCCAGTCAAGATCGTTCGTTTATACTAAAACCACAGCCTGTTAGAACACAAACTGCTTACACAAGAAACTCTCTGCTCGCTGGCGCATTAACAAGTCAATTATATCTGAATGGACAAGTACAGCCTGTCAGTATTGAACCTATCTTTCAYCAAATCGACGAATTTCAGTACGGCGGTACGTAGTTGGTACGACCAACCTCTCATATTGCGACCAGCTTTTCTATATACGAATTAGCACAACTATTAATAATGCGACCAAGACCGTGTTTTATCGGAACGCTATTGATATTGAACAAACTCTCTCTTTGTGTCTTCAACATAAAGGAAATATTTCACAGGTATTGTTGTTTTCTCAGCTTTCATACCCATCCCGAAAGGCACCAATATTCTTACAAACCCAGACTTCGAGCAACCACTAAATACCAGTCCCCTGGTAGGGTGGAGCTGCCAAGGACAGACAGACGATCCCAGAGGAGGAGCTTTGTCCAAGTACTCACTAGATCACAARGAAGGACAATATAGTGGTATTTGCTATGCGAGATTGGCAGAGTGGGCWGGTCCTGGCCAATATATAGGTAAATCGATATCACATCGAAACATTTCGGAACGATGTCGGGACAATCTCGAGCTATCTTCGGAGGGAGAAAACTCCCCGAAAGAACGAAATAATTGAATATCATTTGTGTTTGTAGGCAGAAAGGTCAAACCGAATGGTGTTTACTCTTTTTCTGGTTGGACMAAACTACTGGATCCTAAACACACCCGTGATCTTCACACATTAGAGCTCTGGTTACGGTTCAAAAAACGAGATGAAACCAAAGAAAATACAATGTTGCTGGCACGACGAGATCTCCTATCTATAGGTAGGTCAACTGGCCCCATTTGTGGCAAAAGAGAACTCCACAGATGATTCCTCAAAATCTGTCAGAATTCTTGGGTGTTATCAAGTGAACGCATAGGATTCTTTAATTTTAAGTATTTTAATGCTGTTTTTAGACGATGGATGGGTTCACTGGAAAACAACTTTTCAAATACCAGAATCTCTTAAAGGCTTTCGATATGTCTTCATATTCTACCGTGGACCGCATCAGTCAATCGATATTTTAGCAGATGACATGAAGCTTATTGAGATGTACCAAGACCCTGACTGGAAAAGGAAAACAGACCTACTTATTGACAAATACAGGAAAAGAAAAATCAAAATAAGGTAAGTTTGCGCCGATCTCTTCAAAAAACTTTTTGGGGTTTCATGCCAACGAGTTAGATCCAGAATATCGTTCCGAACTCTTCAGAAAACGTTTTGAGGTTTCATGCAATCGAGTTAGATCCGGAATGTGGTTCCGAACTCTTTGAAACACTAACTATAAATAAGTGAGTAATACTCCAGTTTGTACATGAAAAGCAATTGCATTAAGATTTCTTAATCAATGTAATCTTGTTATCCACAAACTATTTCACTGGTTGTGACGACTCCAATGCTTTCTTTAAAGAGTCAACGTACCACCAAATAGCGTGCCRCAAAGCCACATGGGATTGATCGAAATCAAGGTACATAAACGTTAGAGTCGATTATTCTGATATCGTATATTCTAATATTGTATATCAACAACATACTGGGTATTTTATCAGGTCGAACAGCTGAATCATAAATTTGGATTCGGAGCTGTAGCGAACACAGACAACCTCGTGAACAACCAAAACTACAGAGAWTTTTTTCTCAGAAACTTCGACTGGGCGGTTATGGAGAACGCCATGAAATGGCCTCAGAATGAACCAAGGAAGGTAAGCAAGAGACATCCGAGGAGGTGGTGTGTAACATCCGAGGAGGTGTGCGCCCCCTCTACTAACGAGTAATGCAGTACCAATTGAAACCTGCTTTTTGATTGCTCCTTAAGTACAGCACCACTATTGTTAGGTTAGGTTTTGTTATATTGTTGGAAGACTTATCTATTGTTTGTCCATTGTTTTCTCAACCTATCATGAGACCCGTTCCGAGCGGTGCTACCTGGCTCCTACTAACTGATTAAACGATGCATTTTTGTTTTCTTTTCAGGGTTTCTTTACATATAAAGACGCCGAGAAAACTTTAGCAATCCTTGAAAAACACAAGTAAGGCATGAAACAAGAGACAGATTCAAATCATTAACAAAAACTAACCCAAATATACACCCGAAACAGTGAAATAAACATGGACAAAACAAAACGATACTCGACTTCTATAGTAGACAATTCAGTTTCATTAAGAAACCTCGTTTTTTTGCAGTAAGACTTTAAGGGGTCATTGCATATACTGGGCGGTGCAGGAGCAGTTACCAAAATGGATTCACAGTCTGCCAAAGCCTGACTTGTTTGAGAGCATGAAAATGAGGCTGAGGGGTCTATTAGAAAGGTATCATGGAAGGTAAGAAAAACATGMAATTGGGGTTACTATCACGTGATCTGCTAAGAAATGAGATTTTCTATCTCTTAAGTCACATGGAGTTTTTCATATCAGATATAAGGACATTAGTCGTGGTTCTGACAAGCTGCATGTGCAATAGTTTATGATCGTATTWTGTTGTTTACAAGGTTCAAGCATTGGGATGTCAACAATGAGATGCTTCATGGTCGGTTCTTTGCCGATCGYCTTGGTAAACCAATAAGAGAATGGATGTTTAAATCCGCAGCAGAACTSGATCCTGACGCAGACTTATTTATAAATGACTTTGATGTTGTAGAAAATGGACAACTTACCGAGGTAATATATAACAAGTAACTACAGTTGATGGATTGAATGATGCAGTTGATTGATTAATTGCATGATTGTTTGGTGGAAACTAGCGGTAAACTAGTGTGAGCAACAGTTGTGGACTTACTGACGCTTCGGACGTTAATCCTTTGTCGGAGTATAAAGAGATGGTTGATTGACATGGGACTGATTGAGGTTGAGTGATGGGTTGATGGGTTGATTGACATGGGACTGATTGCAGATAGATGAATTAATGTTGGTAATCAATCGATTGATTGATTGATTGATTGATTGAAAGATTCACTTTTTATTCTAATAACTGGCTGATTAAGCGATCGTTTTGATGTACTCAGTTGCTAGTAGAGCAAGCCAAAGAAATGATCCAAAGAGGAGTGAATATCGACGGTGTTGGCGTTCAAGGTCATTTTACCGGACGAGTCAACCCATTTCTACTGAGAGTAAGTGCATCAATCTGTGCATATCGTTGATTAAGCAATTAAGAGATAGGTACACCGAGGCCTGACTAACTCAACTCATTTATCAGCTCCGCCTGAACGCTTTATCAGAAATCGGTCGTCCAATATGGCTGACAGAAGTAGACGTCTTRGACAAAAACGTCAATCAAAGGGCTGATAGTCTAGAGGCAATAATGCGCATGTCATTTAGCCATCCTAATGTCAGCGGTATTGTACTGTGGTCATTCTGGGCAAGGAGTTCTTGGAGAGGCCCGGATGTTGCTTTAGTGGATGCTGATTGGAAGGTATTGTACACTCTCTCTTCTGTATTCATTGAATGTTACCAGGCAACAGTACGCGTCCATCGACATCGTTGACTGTTTCTAAGGAGCAGGTTGTACGTAGAGTGCTAGATCTTGTTTAGATTTAACTGCTTGATAAGGGTTTATCAAGGATAGCGCTATTCACACTTCATATACCTGGCCTCTGTATTCCACCAATCAGATTCACCATAGATTGATTATTCGTGTTTTCTACGCAGCTCAACGCCGCGGGCGAGAGATACTTCCAATTGCTGGACAGATGGACGACAAGTGGAACAGTAAACCCAACAAAAGTAGACGAAAATGGCGGCGAAGTGTTGTTGGCTGGDTTCCATGGTGATTATCTTGTAACAGTTACTCTTCCTAATGGTAATTTTATAAAGAAAAGATTTACTTTGAATCCTGGGAACGATGTATTCGATCTWCAGCTGAATATCGGTAAGAACTTGATTGGTTTTAGTATCAAATTAAGTCATTTGATTTGATAGCTCGGGGATCCAAAGTCAGWGATATTCTATTGSCAAAGAGCTAAGTGTTAMAWTATTGTTTTCCCACAGTTCCTCAGCCTCCGTTAAAATTGTCAGACTTCAATGTCGTATCACGTGATAAAGACTTTTCGCAGTTGATGAGGAAGTTTGAAAACAAACTCGAGAATCTTCTAGATAGACCCGACATGACAGTGGATTCAGACGAACCAGACCAGAGCTTGCCCGATGTAATGCTTAAGCCTCCATAAACAGACACGGTATAAAGTCCTCCGTGGGCTTTTAGGGATCAAGGGAGGAGAGATATTTACTTTTTGGGAGACAGTGAGTTTTTATGATTTTTGATGGGAATCAAGGAAGTAGGAGTTTATGTTGGGGATCAAGGGAGAGAAGGAGATGATTAAGTACGAGGAAGAGCCGAGATAACTAATGTACATATGCGTACAACGTAACTGTCACTTATTTAGTCAGTTGTAAGTTGGATTTTTTAACTTCTCTGTGAAGTTGCCGTGTCGCAAGCGCAGGTTCCTTGCGGTTTATATTATTTGCTTTCATGCTGTTAAGAAAAAGCATCATCATCTTGGTTGTTTCTATGGCGATAGCAAAGACTTCATCATCTAATTTGGTATAATTTTGTATAATATTGTGAATATATGTCATTTGTATCATAATAAAACGGAAATCCCTCGGTCTAGAGTCAAGTAAAGGACTTGCAATAACGACGTAAAAGTGGAGACGCTTTTTAAAAGTACTCCATCCAGGAATAATCAAACTGTACAATCATAATGCGAGTAATATACTAAAATACTGTATTATTAAGAATAGATTTTATTAAACTTTATGTATAAAAGTAYAGGAGYATAGCATYATTACTGGARTGGGRAAAGGATTTTTATACCATCAYCTTTCAAATAGAYAACAAGACGCTRCTCAGTGGGGTGGGGTGGGGWRGCGATGGTGGACAAGTCCCTTGATATCGGAACTATAATCCTCTCGAGATGAAGTCGAAAGAAACTTTCTGTACAGATGTCKAGTTCAAATGACAATCAAGGATGAYTGACAGCGTCAATCAAAGGAAGCTTCATGCGGTCTATAGCATTCGCTTTAGACGTGATTGAAGGGCTTTGAACCTTCCCAGAATGTCTTGCACGCTGCGGTCACGTGAACAAATGGACTGGAGTTCTATGAGGTAGGTTGCACATGCGTCATGCAAGGTTGTCGTGAAGGCAGGTCTATTCG